CGGGGTCTCCAGGGCGACAGTGGCAGGGGTCCCAGCAGGAGGCGGCCTGCAGAGGGCATGGCCAGTGCCCTGGGGACCTGGGGGAGATGTGGAGCAGGAGAGTCCGAGGAGTTGGCAGGACACTGCGGGACCCAGAGGGGGCTGCGGATCTCAGCCTGAGGTAGACAGCGGTGGTGGCCCCAAGGTCTCTGATGGCTGTGTCCTGGAGGGTCAGGGGCATGTGTGCAGGAGGAGAGGCCACCTGGGGCCTCCGGAGAAGGCGCGGCACCGTGGGCCTGTCTTGGCCCCTGTTATCCACTCAGGCCGCCCACAGCAGCCCTGGGGTCACCGTCCCCGGTGTGAGTGGGCAGCCGGGTGCCATGGCGCTGGCTGGGCCAGGGCTCTGTGTGGCTCTGTGTGGCCGGTGCCCCCCCGGCTCCACCAGCAGATGCCCAGCCGAGGCCAGCAGAGCCTGCGAGACAGGGAGACGGTGGCAGCTTCCGGAGGAAGAGGTGTGGCTGAGCCGGGGCCGTGGGATGGCCAGGCACCGTGGACGCCGGGCGCCACGGTGGACAGGCAGCCTGGGCAGAGGTGGGGGGGCGTGTGCAGGCCCGTCCCCAAGGGGCTGGGTCCTGCTGCTGCTGGTCACGAGCCTGTTTCCCTGGAGCTCTTCAGGGTCCCCAGCTCAGGGACGCTGCGGGGATTCCACAGGCCCATGTGCGTGGCAGTCTGGGCACTGGCCGGCCTGGGGGTCGGCTGAGACTGTCCTCGTGTGGGGGTGGGGCTGGGTGCGCGAGGGCGGGCTGCGTGCCCCCGGGCGGTGAGCAGGGGCACAGGGACCCCACCCGGCCCTGCAGTGCCCGGGCCTCCCGACGTGTGGCCTGCCCTGTCCCCGCCTTCCCCTCCCCGCCAGCAGGACACCCAGCTGTGTCGAGGCAGGGGGTGGGCCAGGGGGCGTCTGGTCGTCGGGGAGTGCAGTGGACAGACCAGGTCAGGGCTCCCCAGGGGTGACCTTGACCCCAGCCCCTGCCCGGCCTCCCCCACTGATCAGCGACGACTTCTCTGGGGCCGGAAGTGAAGTGGGGTGGGGGCCGAGAGCCGCTCGAGGTGGCCAGCTGTGGAGGGCCGGCGGGCGGCCTTGGCGGCCTCTCACTGCCGTGGGGTCCTGTCCCCCACTCCCCCCGGGCCCCGCCCCTCCTCCCCTGCGCTGAGCTGATAAAATTTTGAAGCCAGTTTTCTGCGGCGTCAGCACAATCTAGGCACCTCCCCCCGCGGCCCCCACCGCAGCCAGCGGAGCCCGCTCCCAGACACCCGGTCCAGCGGCCTCCCTCGTGCCCAGCCCGTCCCCCCAGGGGAATCCCTGCCCCAGTGGCCCAGCCTGCGCCCGGCTCCCGGGGTGAGAGGGGCCGCTCAGCCGCCTGCAGGCTGAGTGACCTGGGGCCAGTCACCCTCCCTCTCTGGGCCTCATCTCCTGTGGGCCGAGACAGACAGAGGCAGCGGGTACCAGGGTGGCCACTCAGCGAGACCCTCACGTGGCTGAGGACGGGCCACAGGCTGTGCCCACTGGCCACGGTCCCAGTGCCCTTGGCCACCTGGGCATCATGGTCTCCAGTCCTGTCCCTTGGCAGTCCCTCTGCCTGCGGAGCCCTCCCCATAGAGAGCCTCTGGGTCAATGTCCAGGCCCTGGGTCCAGCTGCATGTCCGTGGGTTTGACCAGACAGCTCCTGGGCTCCCTGCCCTCCGGAGTCACCCTGGGCCCATTTTACAGAGAAGCGTGAGAGGCCCAAAGAAAGGGCCGTGTCCCGCGGTCATGGGCCAGGAGGGCGGCCCGGGCAGCCCCCGCCTGTGCTGCCCACACCGTGTGCCTCACCCTCCACGGGGTGACGGTGGACGCTGGAGGGGGCATCTGGCCAGCGTGGCATGGCCCCTCCTGGCCGGGCTGTGCCGTCGGGCCACAGGCTGCCCTGCAGGAGCCCACGCTGACCCAGCTGTCCACCCCTGAGCCAGGACCCCGTCCTCTGCCGGGCCAGCTTCAGTGCCTGTCCGTCTGATGACAGGGGACAGCCACCACCTCCCTGCCCCAGGGCTGGAGGGGTCCCGCTTGGGCCCGAGCGTGGCATCTGCCTCCTGTCAGTCCTGAGGTGGCCCTGGCCGGGGGTGGGGGTGGGCGCAGGGCCTGGGCGGGCGGCGGCTCTGGTCGGCCGCAGGCGGGAAAGTGGACGGGGGCCTGGGAGCTGCAGAGTGAGTGAGGACAGACCGACAGACAGACGGGGAGACTCGGTGATGAGACGCTCTGGGGTTTCCGAGGGTGGGGAGGTGGGCAGCCAGGGGAAGCCCCTGGGCCTGCTGTGGGGGGCCAAGAGCCCAGGGCATCAGCTGGGTCCGATTCCAGGGCTGGACGTGTGCGTGCCCCAGGGCAGCCTGGGCAGCTCTGGGGACTCTGCTGGGGTGATGAGAGAGGCCCGTGGGGCCTTGTGGGTTAGGGTGCCCTGGAGGGGGCGGGGCAGCTGGGCGAGAAGCCACCAACCTGAATGGGCAAGAGGAAGAGAAGGTGGCATTGGGCAAGGGCAGAACAGGGCAGGGAGGCTGCGGCCAGGCCACTCTGCCTGGGGAGGGCCTCCCAGGAGAGGTCACTCCTAACACGCGGCCTGTAGGAAGTGAGGCAGCCAGCAGGAGTAGAGGGAGCTGGCGCAGCCGGTGCAAAGGCCCTGGGGCAGCCGCGCTGGGCCCGCCTGAGGCTGTGGCAGGGCCAGGACCTGCCCTGCCTGTGGGAGTCTGAGGAACCAGGACGCAGAGGGAAGCCGCTGCCCAGGGCCCGCCGCCCAGCCGGGCCTCCCCGCCCCCTCTGGCAGCCCGAGAAACCCGAAGCGCGGGCGGGCACCGTGCCAGGGCGGGGGAGGGGCTGCCAGGCCCGCCCGCTCCGGCAGCTGCCAGCCCAGATGGTGCCCATCTGCTGACGCCGCCGTGGGCCGGCCTCCCGTTCCCGCCTCACACAGGGCCAGGCTCCTGCAACCGGGCCGCAGTGGCGCTGTGGGCTGGCCAGGAAGCCTGGGCCACGGGAGGGGCTGGGGCGCCCAGAGCGCGGGAGACGTGGGGAGGCCCAGCCCCGCCGGGCAGGAGCGCCAGGCGCGGGGACGTGCCCTCTGCGTGCCAGGCCGGGCCCAACACACCCTCCTCCTCCCTTCCTTTCCCTTCCTTGCCGTGTGGGGGCCCAGAGCTCCGCTGCGCCAGGCGGGCGCTGCCGCTGGGCCACCCCCGGCCTCCCTGCCCGGCTGGGCTCCTCAAATCCCTCCACCGTCCTGGCAGGAAGGGACTCTGACCTCCTCCTGTGTTCAGATACAAGGCAGAGGCCCAGAGAGGGGCAGCCACTTGCCCGAGGTCACACAGCTTCTAAGGGCAGAGCTGCACGGAGACCCCCCGGGTCCCTTGGGGAGGGAGCGAAGCCCCTTGTTAAACACTCCTGAGGTCGTCCAGGGAGAGCCCTCCCCCTGGTGGACACGGCCTGGACGGGGCCTGGCTGAGTGCCTCATGACCAGCCTCAGGGACAGCATTGCCGTGGGGTGCGGCCTGGGCGGGTGCAGGAGGAAGGGCCTCAGGAGGGGACTAGGGGACCTGGTCGGCCACCGCCCCCCACGGCCTGCTCTGCCACGGGGAACCTCCGTCCGCCATCTGTGCAGTGGGCACTGGAAGCCAGGGGCCCTGAGAAGCACACCAGAGGTGCTCAATAAGTGCTCGCTCCTCCTGGCCCTCTCCCTGGCCCCAGGAGCCGGGGAAGCCCAGCTCTGCGCTGAGCCCAGGGAGGAAACGGACTCAGGTGACCGCGGGCGGCCGTCACTGGCAGCCAGGTGTCCGGTGGCAGGGGCAGGGGCTGTGGCACCCTCCGGGCCCGGCAGCCAGGTGGATGGCCACCCGCCTGTGCGGGGTGGTGGCTGCCGGCGCAGGGTCCAGACGCCAGCTGAGGGTGTATTTTTAGGGACCCCGGGAGACCTCGGCTCCTGTCCTGGTGGGAGGGACGGACGGTGGGCGCGCTGGGTGGCCTGTGGGCCTGGGCTCCTGCTGCCTGCCCGAGGGGCCACTGACCCAGCCGAGCCCGAGGCCAGGGAGTGGGGAGCCGGACAGTGCTGCCCAGTGCCCAGGACTGCCATGCCCACGTGTCCAGGCCATGTGGCAGCGGCGAGCCCCTGCCTGGCGAGCAGGCGCCACGCACACCAGGAACGGGCCACGCCGAGGGCCACACCTCACGGCCACACTCCACCGCCATTTTGCCAATCACAGTTGCAAACAGTGAGAGACAGTGACGTCCACGTGACGGTGACCACGTGTGCGCTGTGCTGGCATGACAGCAGGAAGGACTGTCCGTGGTGACGGCAGGATGGTCACTCACTCCTGCAGCCAGCCCCCAGCCCCCCCGCTGCTCGGCTGTGCAGTGTCAGGAAGCGAGTGCACATCTCTGATCTCCACTTCCTCCTCAGTGACCGTCCGGGGGGAGGGACCCCTGGGGACCAGCGTCCACCCAGGCCCTGGGCGGGGTGCTCTGCACCTGTGGCTGCCCCCAGCGTGGCGGGCTGCAGTTGCCACCCTGGCCCTGCGCCCAGGTGCCGGGGGTGGGGGAGGCTGAGGGCAGCTGGGGACAGCTCTGTCCCCCTCTGCCGCTGCCAGGCCAGCCCCTCTCCCTCCTGCTGGGTCAGAGTGGGTGAGGGACAGAGGAGCGGGCACTTGGGGACACGGGTGTTTTTTCCGATGGGAAGGCTGTGGCCCAGGGTGGCCCCCTGGGTCCTGGCGGCTCCCAGCAGACTTGGAGGGGTGCCAGGGCACAGGGAGGGGGACAGGGACCGGCCTTCCCAGGCAGGGGGCCCTGGAGTCCCCAGGCCAAAGTGGCTCCTGGGTCCTGTGGGCTGAACCCCGTGTCCTGGGCTGGTCCTGGGGCCTCCTGGGCCAGGCCCTGATGGTGGCAGTTCCAGAACTCTCCAGGTGGCCCAGGACAGCCGGTGCCCGCGGCCGTCCAGCGTGCAGACCTCAGGGTGTCTGGGCGCTGCTGTCCCCAGCTCGCGGTGTCCCTGGCCTTCGCAGCGCGGGTCTCACACGCGCATCTCCATTGGATGGGCTGCGCTTGAGGTGCCCAGAGCCGCAGGTGGCCCCTCGGCTGCGCTGGGCAGCGTGGAGCAGGGCGCGGGTGCCCAGGTTGGCTCTGGGGAGCGCGAGGGCAGATGCGGCCGCCGTGCCCCCGCCGGGTTCTCAGCTCCCCGACGTCCTGCCTGGGGCTGGGCGGGGCCCGAGTGGCCAAGGGCACCCTGTGCTCCGCGGGCCCAGGGAACGTGTGGCGAGCTGGGCACCCAGCATGGTCCTGCCTGTGGCGCGGGGACGCGGGAGGGGCGTCTCCCGTTTCCAGGCCGCGCGGTCGTGGCGCTCAGCCCCTCGTGGCCCTGTGGTCTCGGGTGCTGGGCTTCCTCCTGGTGGGCAGATCTGTGGGAGGACTTCCCACGAGGCCCCAGGGTCTCCTAGCCCTTCCCCGTGGAAGGCAGAGGTGGTGATCACCGGTGGTGACGGCCCCCGGGGCGGTCAGTGTGTGCCGGGTGTGGGGTGCCCACTGGGAGACCACGGCACTCTGGGCCCCCAGTGGGGTCCTGGGTCGCCTGAGCTCATCCCTGTCTCATTTGACCTCAGGAGGACCCGGGAGCTTGGGCCGTCATCAGCGGCATTTACAGATGGGGAAACTGAGGCCCAGAGAGGCGGAGTCAGGGGCCAAGGTGGCCCAGCTGGGGGGACGTCAGGATTGGAGTCCAGCGGGTCAGGGAGACTCGGGCCCGCTCTGCCCCATGGCCAGGGGAGCCTGGGGGACAGAGGACCTCCCAGAGGGCCCGGGTTACCTCCCCTGCGGGCCTTGAGACTTTGGTGCAGGCGACAGGCAGCAGGTCCAGCTGGATCAAGGGGCACGGGGCTGCCCCCCCCCCACCTGCCTGGCCGGCCCCTGCGCCAGCCGCCCTCCTCCTCCGCTGCCCGGCGCCCCGCGGCCCTGGCCTTGCCAGCCGCCCTGCCCCCATCCCGCCCGTGGGCTGCCCGGAGGTGGCATGGGCAGCTGAATGGGCCCCTTGTTCCTGGCCACACCCTCTCCTTGGGGTCACCCTGGGACATGCCAAAGTGGTGCTGCCTTAAAGGGCCAGCGCCCGCAGAGAAGGGAGGAGGGCCACCCTCCCCGAAGCCACCCGCCACGCGGCAGCTGGCCTGGGAGGAGCCTCGTGGGCGAGGGGTGGACCCTCGGGGGCTGCCTGTGGGAGGGACATCCTGGGGCCTGGGTTCTGCCCAGGACAGTCCCGCCTGCCTGTGCCTCGGTTTCCCCATCTAGAGCAGGGTCCCTCCCCGGTTGCTGGTGGCGGGCGGCTCCCGGGCGGGGACGTGGTACTCAGTCGCCTTCCTCCTGGGCCCACTGTGCAGGCGCCTCCTGCGGCCGCGTCCTCGGGCGGCGGGGACGGGCCGCGGCGGCCTGCTGCCCAGGTCCAGTCCTCAGAGTGCAGCTGGGGCCACTCAGCAGCGGCGTTTATTGAGCACTGACTGCATACGGGGCCCTGGCAGCGAGAGGCCCAGGGCCAGCCCAGCGGCTGTGCAGCTCCAGCTGCCCACCTGCCCTCTCTGGGCCTCAGTTTCACCTTCAGAGCAAGCGGACTGTCCGCCGCCCCCGCCTGCGGCGCCCCCAGACGGAGGCCTCCCTGAGCGGGAGCCAGTGCAGAGGGCCGGAGCCCAGCTGCACGGGCCGCTCCACGAGGCGGCTCCCAGGCCCAGGCTGGCCACAGACAGCCTGGGACAGGTTGCTGCCGGTGGACAAGCCTGTCCTCGTCCTCGCCTCCTTATGTAACTGGGTCACCCGAGGGCAGCGGCCCACTTACATAAGGGAGGCGGGCCAGCGCCAGCTGGGCAGGGGGAGGCTCTTAAAGGGGCCGCGTCCTGCACCTCCCGGGCCTGGAGCGGCCTCTGCTCTCACCGCGGCCGTGGGCGTGGCCACAGGACAGTGGGTCCGCCTGGCGGCTCAGAGCCCTGGGCCAGGGGCTTGGCTGTGATGCCAACCCATGAGGCGCTCGGCCAGCCTTGGCTCCCTGAGCCTCATGGTCCTCTGGTGGGCAGTGGACATCAGGGTCTGCCCTTGCTGCCAGTTCACGTGTGACCTCAGGCAGGTGGCCTGCCATCTGGGTCTCCGTCCCACCTGTGAGAGGCCCCTGCCTCCGGGTCCAGCACTCGGCCGAGCCCTGAGGGGAGGAGGGACCAGCACCGAGGGACCAGGCAGAGAGCCCAGCTGTGCAAAGGCCCTGGGGCAGGCCAGGCCTGTGTGTTGGAGGCTCAGCCAGGAGCCATGTGGCTGGAGCCAGGGGAGAGGAGGAGGAGTCGGGAGGGCACGGGGAGGGGACAGGGCAGCTGGTGTGCGGCCTTGTGGGCTGCAGGTTTGGGGTTCTGGGGTGGTGGGCGCCAGGGGGAGCCGTGGGAAGAGGAGGGGGCTCTGCTCAGCGTCCGCAGGAGACTGTGTGCAGGGGAGCTGGGCCCCGGGGCTGAGCCTGGGGGCAGCCAGGACCAGGGCAGCGGATGGACTCGGGGCGCAGAGACCTCCATGGTGGGGCAGGGCCCGCTGGCCACCAGTCCTGCCCCGTCCTGGGCACACGCAGGGCAGCAAGGGCGAGGCAGCAGCCGGAACCCCCCTGGTCAGGAGCTGGTGGGGGTCAGCGGCTGGCTGGAGGCCGGAGGCCCAGGGCTCTCACCAGCCTGTGCCCCAGCTGCATGGCCGCTCATGGGCAGCCGAGCCGCCATCTTCCGCACACAGGGTGCTGACCTCCTCCTGCGCCGTGGCTTGGTGGACGCCCAGCGTGGGTAGGTGGCCGTCAGCACTCGGCAGGCCCAAGGCTCAGGACTGGAGGCTGAGGCAGGAGGCCCAGATCCCAGCACCACCTGTGCCCACGAGTCCCACCCTCGCGCCCAGGTGGCCCCGGGCCGGCCTCTCAGCCGCACCCAGCTCTGTGCTCGAGATGGGGTCACGGTCACTGGCAGCAGTGGGCAGGTGACGACGTTGGGGCGGAGGGTGTCACATCTGACCACGGGGAACTGAGGCCCGGGGGCCACCAGCATGTGGCGCAGTAGGACCTCAGCGAAGGTGACGTCGCCCGAGCCTGGGGGCCCTGCGCTCACCTCAAGGCCCCTCCTCAGGAAGCCCCCAGCCAAGGAAGGGCCAGTGCCTCCCACGTCCCTCCTGCCACAGGCCCTCCCGGTGCGCAGGGCCGGGGCGGCCGGGGTGTCCACAGACGTGGGCTCTGTGGGGCCTGTGCTATGCCGTGTGTCCCCCGCCCCGTGGCACGGCCTGCCCAGTGCACACGGCTCCCTCTGCCCGGGGTCCTGCAGTCTCAGCACGTGTCGTTTGTCCCCGAGCATCTGTGAGTGCCACCGGGGACAAGCACTTAGTGAGCAGCTCTGCAGGGCCCCCGGGGCACTGGGCCGGCCCCTGCTCCCCAGCTGGCCGCAGCCCCGGCTCCGCCCCCTGCAGCCGGGAAACCGAGGCGCGTCCCCAGGCCGCCGTGGGGGGACAGGCCGAGGGGCAGCCGAAGATGGAGCTGGGGTGGCGTCACCGCCTGTGTCCCCAGCTTCCGCCCGGCCCTGACCACGTGGCCACAGGAGCTTCCCGGGTGGAGAGTGGCCAGCCCAGCCCCTCCCCCGGACACACTGACATTGAGGGACGGGAGCCTGGCCAGGTGCCTGTGGGTATATTTAACCCTCAGTGTCACCTCCCAGGGCCACCCTGAGTTTCGTTGTGCCAAGTGGCACCATGGCGCTGTGCTGGCACTGGAGCAGGTGACGAGGACCCAGCACGGCAGCCCCGAGTCCCTGCTCAGCCCCGGGAGCCGCAGGGACTGGCAGGGAGGGCCGTGGGGCCTGGAGCCTGGCAGGTCACCCCCGCCATGTCCTGCCTGGCCGGGGAGGGGAGCCCACGCCCCGGGCCCCTCCTGGGTGCACAAGATGGCCGCCCGGCCGGAGAAGCATCTGGAACAAAATGGCCGCTGGGCGGTGATGTCACGAGGAGGCCTGGCTCCGAGGCTCGGGTTGGGACGAGCCCCGGCCTGTAGCCTGGAGCAGGCTGCAGCCCCAGGTGGCCCCACGCCAAGCTCTGGGGTCCCTGGACAGGGACGCCAACCCCAGGCCTCCGGGGACTAGGGCGGGCCGGACCCAGGCGGGCGGTGGTGGCCTCTACCCTGACCCGCCAGTCTGAGGTGTCCAGGGTCCCCGCAGGCCCGCGGCCAGCCCAGAGGGAGCGGAGCCAGGCCGGGGGCAGGGACGCTCTGAAAAGTGATTCCCAAGCAGGTTGGCGGCGGCCCAGGCGCCGGGCGGAGGGAGATGGAAACTGTGGTGCAGACTCCAGGAATCGGGGAGGCCGAGCTGGGAGGCTGGGCCGAGGCCCACATCAGGGAGGACACCTGCCAGGTCCTGTCCAGGGGACCCTGGGTGCTGTGGACGACTGTGCCTGAGGAGGCTGGGCAGGGGCTCTGCCTCCTCTCTGCTAGGACAGGAAGGCCTTTGGGGACATGTGGCCCAGAGCCTGTGGGAGGCCGTGTCTAGGGACTCCTTGAGGCCACAGCAATTTGGGCTTGGTCCTGTCACATTACCAGGGCAGCTGGCTTCCGTCTAGCTGCAGCCTCCCCCGCGGCTCCATCCCTGGCCTCAGGATGTGACCTTGGGGGTGGCATTAGCTTCTGCTCTGTTCGCTGCTGTGGGCACAGCGCCTGGGACGGGGTAGACAGTAGGCACTCAAGGGGCGCTGAACCAAAGAATCCCGGGTTCTTACGCGCCAGCTTGTGAACGGAGGGGGGCCCAGGGACTGCCCAGCAGGTGGCAGGGAGCTGGCCCTGGAGGGGTCCCGAGAGGCCGGGCCTGGCGGGCGATGGGGGACACGGAGCCGCTGACAGGGACTCGAGTCGCGTCAGGGAGCAGCGGGGTGTGTAGGGAGGGCGCCACTGTGCGAAGGGCTGGGGCGGGAGAGCCCGTTGGCTGGAGCAGTGGGGGCAGCAGGCGGGAGGGCAGGGCCACGGAGGGGACTCGCTCTGACCCGAGGAGGTGGGCAGAGGCTCTCCCCGAGGAGGCTGCTATTTATAGATCCCGACCCGCCGGGTGGTGGGACCAGGAGGGGCCAGGGCCAGGGCGCGAGCTGGTGGGGACAAGGGCCAGGGGGCCTGGAGGTGCAGGTCGAGGGAGGCCCCGGGGACGCCTGCAGGACAGGGAGGCTGGACGGGGCGGTCAGGGCCTGGGCGCGGCGACACCGGCCGCGGGGACTCCAGGGCCTGGCTCTGCCTCAGGGGAACGTGGCCGGGCAAGGCCAGCCACTGAGGGGCGCGGCGGAGGTTGGAGAATGGACGGGGCAGCTCGCCCAGCAGCCTAGGTCAGCAGATCAGCTGCGTGTCCACTCCCAGGCCACCCCCTGGCCAGGGGCCACCCCTGGGCCGGCTGCCCACGGCTCCTCTGCGTCCTGCCCTGGGCGGCCGGGGTTCCCTGGGCAGCGGGCAGGAGGAGGACCCTCAGTGGGTGGAGCCGGCGTCCGTGGCCCAGGGCGGGCTCAGGGCCTGGACTCCGCAGTGCCCGCCCTCCCAGCCCCACCCCACCCTGGTGTCCCCTCCGTGGCTCTGACTCCAGGGGCTCCGGGGTGGCCCTGCCGCGTGTCCTGCTACGCCTGGCTCATGTCCTGGCACTGGGTCCCCAGGTCCATGCACACGCATGTCCCCTCGCTCCTACTCGTGGCCAAGTGACCTCCAGGTGTGGGTGGCCCACGCCGGGCGTCCCCCCCTGCACTGGGGCTGTTGTGCACGTGTCCCTGCCTCGTGTCAGGTCCTGGGGCCCCTGCACCAAGGGACAGGTGGGTCAGAGGCTGACGCTCAGCTGTCCGTCTCCGGCAGGGGCTGTCCCGTCAAGGCCCGAGCGCGGCTCCTGCCTCCTGCCCCCCAGGCCCTCCGGCCGCAGGGTCTCCTCCTGCCCCAGGGCCTTGGGCCCTGCCTGACCCCTCGCCCGGGGAGCCGTCTCTGCTCAGAGCCCTTCCCTCGCCATGCCTGGCCGGTGGCAGGTGGTGACCATCCCTCGGGTGGAAGCTGGGGCTGCCCACTGGCCGCCCAGCTGCCGGGAGCGGAAGCGCTGTCTCCGACACTCAGGGTGTTGTCCCCGCAGAGGAAGGGCAGGGCCGCGGCCACCGGCAGCCCTTTGTCCTGAGCTGGGACTCGCCAAATTTGGGCTCAGGGCCATGGACAGGAAAGGACAGCCTGTACCCTCCGCGGAGGGCGTTGACACTGCTGTCCCGCGGCCACGTGCTTGTTTGAGCAAGGCTGCAGGGGGTGGTGACGTCCCTGGCTGCACACAGAGGCCACATGGACCTGGGCAGCAAGAGTGGTCCCCAGCCAGCAGAGGGTGTCGCTGAGACAGCTGCTGCCCACACGCGACGAGGGTCTCGCGGCACGAGGAGCCGAGCGTGGTCAGCTACGCGCCAGGCGTGGTCTCCGAGGTCTGAGGATCGGGGAAGAGGGAGCCACGAGGGCTTGTGCAGGAAAAGTGTCCCAGGCAGAGGGCACGCTGTGCAAAGGCCCTGGGGCAGGAGGAGCCCCTGGGGCGGAGCAGAGGGGAGGGGAGGGTGGACGAGGGCAGGGCGGGCAGGTCCTGCGAGGACTCGGGCTGTGGCCCAGGGAGGTGGGCAGGGAGGCTGGGCAGGGCCGGGACCTGCTCCTTTGACCCCTGGGATGTGAGAGTGCGTCACGCGGTGCTGCGGGTGCTGGTGGCCCGCGTCTCCCTGAGCCCCTCTGAGCCCACAGAGGACCTGGAGCAGGTCAGTGGAGACCGCCCACCCTGCGGGAGGGGACACCGGGGCTGGGGGGTGGCGATGCTCACCCAGGGCTCGGCCTCGTTTCCGCAGATGGGCCTGCAGGGACAGTGGGGACCTGCGCCTTCCAAGTCCCCAGGGTGGCCTTGTGGGCCGGGTGGGAGCCAGGCCGTGTGTGCCAGGCCCGGGTCCATCCCGGGCACCACAAGAAGAGTCCCAGTGCGTTTTAAGGGCTCTGAGAAGTCCCGCGATCACCCCGAGCCGCGCACAGGACCCGGACGCTGGACGAGCCGTGCCGAGTCCACCCCGGGCAGTGGGACAGGGGTGTGTTTTTCTGGTGTGACCAAGAGCAGTGTTGAAGCTGGGAGCGGTGGCATGTGCCCGTGACCCCAGCTCCTCGCCAGGCCCAGGCAGGAGGGTCCCTTGTGCCCGGGAATTCAGGCGGCAGAGCCGGACCCCGGCTCGAAAACCAAACAAGCAAAGGGAAGAAGGTGTCCCGAGCCCCCGGACGGCACCCGCTGCCGAGGCGGCCGTCGGAGCCGGCGGGCGGGTGGCGCCCAGGCAGGGACCGAGCCGGGCCTTCAGAGGTGCAGAGGCGGGTGCTGTCCCCTGCCACCTCTGCGGTGTGGCCTCGGGTAACTGACTTACCCTCTCTGAGTCTCCAGGGGTTGCCCGCCTCACCAAGGACCGAAGGGGCCCGAGATGGGCCGATGCCCAGCGCACAGCTGGGCATCTGGAGCCTGGCGAGCCCCGGGTGACCGTCACCGCTGTCCCCCAGGGGCCGAGGCTGGTGCTCTGAGGGCCCCGTGTGAGGGCTGAGCAGGACCTGCTCCCGGCAGGTCCCAGGGAAGGGTCCCCCCCCCCCCGCCCTGGTCCCCAGCGCCACTGTCAGCCTTGTGGACGCGGGAGGAGCTCGGGAGGTGGGTCCCCGGCTGGGGACTCTATTAACTGACCAGAGAAGGGATCCAAGGGCCAGGAGTCGCCCCACACTGCAGACGGGCGTCCTGGGTGAGGGGACAGAGACCCCACAGGCCCCGCCCCCGCCCGAGCTCAGGGAGGGGCTGCAGGGGAGGGGCTGGGCGCGGACCCCAGGCTGCTGGCCGCCGCCGGCACTCGGCGTGCTGGACCCTGTTCTGCCCGTCTCGTGCCTCAGTCTCCCCACCTAGGTGTCCCCTAGAGGGACTCAGAGACCCGTGAGTCAGTAGTGGTGACACTGCAGCATACCTGGCCAGAGGCTCACTGGCTAAGCGCAGGGCAGCTCTGTCCAGCCCTCCCGGGCCCGGCTGGCCCTCGCCTGCAGGACTGCTGCTCATGCCCCCAGTGCAGGGCCCTCCAGACCTTCAGAAGGCACCCTGAGAGCAGTGTCCTCCGTTATGGTCACTGCTGTCCCCCCAGGGTGGCTCCAGGAAGCCCTCAGTGATCCGTGCTGGGCAGTCCCTGGAAAGAGCTGATGTTTCTCAGCCCCAGTTTATGAATGAGAGCAAGGCTCAGAGACGTCAAACTGCTTGCCCAAGGACACACAGCCAGAAGTCAGCAAGCCTTTTTAGGGAAGGCCCCATGGTGGACGTGGCAATTCTGACCAGGTGGCTTGTGGCCTCTGCCGCCTGGTCCTTCTTTTTGTGCCACCTTTGGGTTCATGGGCTGCAAAATAGGTGACCCCACACTGTGAGCCGTTGTGGGCTGATCTGACTTGAACCCCACATCCTGATCCCAGAGCTGCATGGTCCCCGCAGCCCCTCCCGCCCCGACCCCGTGATGCCAGCTCTCGATGCTGCTGCCCACCGCCCGGCTCCTGCCACACTGAGTCTGCTTGTTGCCCCTGCCCACGGCTCATTCCATCTGTGAAGCTCAGAGATGGGCAGCATTCCCCTGAGACCACACAGCAAGAGGGGAGCAGGCAGGTGGGAACCAGCCCACTGCCCCCAGTGAACCTGCACGTAAAATCCTCAAAACAGACCACAGGAACCCACAGGGGCCGGCCGGGGTGGCCCAGCACGTGCGAGGCCCTGGGGTCGGAAAATAAACAAGCAAATAAAGGTGTTGTGTCAACTAGGACAAACAGACAAACAAGGACGACCCAGCGCCCTCCAGGCGGGGCGGGAGCCCTGCTGAGTGCCTGCTGTATACTGGCGCAGGGCTGGGTGCCGTTCCCCAGGCTTCTCCCCAGGACCGCCCCAAAGACCCCTTGCAAGCCTTTCGCGCCCCAGTGGGGGGCACAGGCGTGCCACCTGCCCTCCCCCCCCCCGCCGAGCCGGCTCTGCCACCCTCCCGCCACCGCCTCCAGAGCTGGCCTCGCCTCCACCGAGGTGGACGCAGCAACCCGGGCCCCAGATGCTGTGCACCCCGGGCCGGGTCCTTGTCCCCTGGCGTCCTGGGCACCGTGGGGCACTGGGCTTCGTCCCTGCCTCCGCTCTGCAGGCTGGGCACCCGCCGTGATGCCACGTGTGCCCCGACGTGGCCCCGACAACAGCTCCCGTGGGCGGACCAGCGGCCGTGACCCTGGGCGGCCGGGCAGGCGCCCTCTGCCCTGGGCTGGGCTCCATCCTGGAGCGGTGGCTGGGGTCGGTGACACGCGGGGCCTCGCCCAGTTCAGCCAGGACGGGGACGTGGGGCTGCCCGCGCGGGGCTCAGGCACCTGGTGGGACACTAGCCGGACCTGCACTGCCACTCGGCGCCCGTGTCTGAGGGTGGGCGCGGTCTGGGCCTCCTGGTGACCTTTTGCTCCGTCGCCTGCCACAGCGGCCTGGACGCGCGGGTCCCGCTGATGAGCCGAACACTTCCCTGTTTGTTAAAGTACGTTCCTGGTCGTGGGTGGACAGTCCTCATCTTGTCTGTCCCCCGTACGTGCTGCTGGGGACGGAGCCAGGGCCTCCCGCATGCGAGGCAAGCCCCGCCCTGGACACCCGACTTCACGTCAGTTTAACTTACATTTGAGGGGTCACTGCGGCCAGGGGTGCCCAGAGTGGACGGGTCTGCACGTGGGACTCTCAGGAGCCCAGCAACGGACTGCGGTCAGCAAGTGGCCGAGTGCCTCCCGCGCTTCCCAGAGGGTCAAGGGTGAGAGGGCAGAAGATGAGGGGCACTCTGACCCCTGCTGCAGGGGACGGGCCTGAGGACACAGTGCTCAGTGACATCAGAAGACACAGGGACACGCCGCGGGTCTGTGCCAGGAGGTCCCTGGAGTCTCAGAGCCACCGAGAGGGAGGCAGCCTGTGGGAGCTGGCCGGGCTGGGAGTCGTGTGGAGGGGACAGGCTTCGTCCTGGGGACACGCGAGTCCTGGAGCAGGCGGTGGGGACGGCCGTGCCACCCGCATGTGCTCCGGGCCCTGGGCGGGGCACTCAGGTTTCAAACAGTAAAAAGGTGGACACGAGAAGGAGTGGCCGGGCCGGGCACCAGGTCCCCAACCCGCGTTTAAAAAAAACCCTCCAAGGACGACTGAGAAACAAGTCACTGTGGACTCCCCAGGGCCAGGCGCAGCGGCCACCGTCACGCGGCCCTCAGGAGCAGGCGCAGGCCGCCGGGGCAGCGTAGGGCCTGTCACGCGGCCAAGGAACAAGGGCTGGGCGCTCTAGGCGTCCCCACCACCGAGACACCAGGGGAGCCAGACCACGGCCACCGCCACACTGCCCCTGTGCGTCCTCCGCAGGCCCAGGCAGCACTGCAGCGCGGGACGCTCCGAGCCTGGATGCTGGCCAGGGCAGGGTCTGCAGGACGTCAAGCCGCTGGCCTCAGGACCAGGCTGCGGACACGACGGTCCTCCGTGGCTCCTGAGGCCACGCCGGGCTGGTCCACCTGTGGGCAGCGCCCTTGGCTTGCTGTTCCTAGACTTGGTGACCCCAGGACCCTGGGTGGTGGGTCGTGCCGCGGCCCCCCCTCCCAGGCAGGGAATCCGAGGCTGGTGTGCCTGGCCCAGGTCAGGGGGGACACTCCTGGCCCAGGCCAGGGGTCACTTGGCCGAGGTCCAGGTGGAGTGGGCGAGCGCTGTACTCTCAGGACACAGCCACGGCCACGCAGGGCCCCCAGGGCAGCGGGCCTGGGCGCGTGGTCACAGGGGCCTCCTGTCCCCTGGGAGGGCGAGGCGGGGGAGCCTGTGGCCTGAGCCCTGCACCGTGGGGTCTGGCACGGGCGCGGGGGCCCAGCTCGGCGCCTGGTAGGTTGGAGGAATGGCCCTTCCTGGGAGCACAGCCGGGTGTGGACGGAGCCGCCTGGGAGGGGCTCAGCTGCCCGAGGCCTGGAGCCCAAGGCTGCTGCCGGACTGGGCCCTTGCCTGCAGCGTGGCCACCTGTGCCGGCCTGCAGACAGTCCAAGCAGGACTGGCCAGCTCCAAGGGCCGCTGGCTGCCCAGCCTGGGAGCTCCGGGCACACGCTGCCGGGCACCGCGCGCTCCTGGGCCCCGACGCAGAGCCCACGGGTGTCATTTCCCACCTTCACCACGGGCCCTGGGACAGTGCCCACGTGATCCCGAGGGCCACCAGAGGCCCGTGCCCCACGCGCTGCCCACGACCGCGCCCCAGTGCAGGGACACTGCGTCCTTGCCCCCTGGCGGCCGCTCGCCCAGGGGAAGCGGGACCGAGGCTCGGCCTCCCTGGGCCACACAGCCGCAGGCCTCCGTCCGTCCCGTCCGTGTCCGGCCCCCTCTGTCCTCCGGCCTCCCAGTGCCCCCCGCCACCCTCTTGGCCTGGAGAGGTGGGGCCCCCTCCCTCCATCCCGCTGCCCAGCCGATGGCGCTGAGCTCAGCGTCTGCATGGCCGTCACCCTCCCTCATCTGCCAAGGGGCCACTGGTTTTAGATAAGACGGAGAAGCCAGCGGAGGGGCCCCCAAGCCAGGTGGGCAGGTGGGGGCATCGCGCCACTGAGGGCACCCCTCAGCCCTCTGGGGACCCCGAGCAGAACCCTGACCAAGGGGCCTTCGAGGACTCGCCCCCGCGGCCCTCAGCTTCCTGTCTGTAAAACGGGCAGGACGACGGGGCAGGACGGGGAGTTTTCATATCACAGGTGAGGTTCAGAGGGGGCAGGAGACTTGCCCAGGGGCACACAGTATGGAAGGGCAGAGCGGGGAGTCCAGCCCTCCACGGAGCCAGCCTCACTCCTGCTTGTGCACACTGGGCCTGGGGCGGGGCTGGGCTGGGGGCTGCAGGGCTCCTGGCCACACGTCATGATCCTCCAGGGCCAATGAGAGGGACCGGCACATTCTGGACCAGCCCAGCCTCAGACGGCACCGACGTGGGCACTGCAGCTTCCCAGGGGCCGGAGGTCCCGATGCCACCAACCCCTCCCCTCCTCTCTTTGCAGACGCGGAGCAGAGCAGCAGCCCCCGGGCAGGGATGGGGTCCGACCAGGAGGACAGCAAGCCCATCACGCTGGGTGAGTGGGCGCAGTGGGCAGGCGGGGGCCACCCAGCCCTGTCCTTCCTCCAGGGGCCGTGTGGCCCAGGGAGCCTCAGGAGCAGGGACCTGTGGTCCTCCAGGCAGCGTGCTGCCGCTCCACTTCACACCTGGGCCCACGGGCGGGCGAGCGAGGGCTCCAGGGCTGCGCGGGGGCCAGGCTCTGCAGCCCGGGGACTCAGGTAGGCGGCGGGAAGTCGGCCCCCAGGGGCGGGGAGTCTAGGAGCAGGAAGGGGCCACAGGCCTAGGTGGCCCCCTGGACCCTCCCGCCCCTCGGCCTGTCCCTCAGCAGCCAGGGGCACCTCTGCCCGCAGCCCTCCACGGCTCCCTCCCCCCTCGGCCTCCTGCCCACCAGCGCCTTCGCACAGCCTGTCCCTCTGCCTGGACGGCTGACTGCTCTCCGGGCTCCCCAGGTCCCCTGTCAGGGAGGTCTTCCAGAGCCCCTTCAGCCCTGCTAGCCCGGGGCTGCTCCTGGCCACAGCCCTGTGCCTTCTCTCCTTCCTGCTGACCCCCCGCCTAGCGAGCTGGGGACGGAGCCAGGGCCTCACACGTCCAGGCAAGTGCTGCGTCCCTGAGCCCCGCTGCCCTGGACGCCTTGCTCAGTCCCCCATCTGGGCTTGAACCTGCCGTCCTCCTGCCTGGGCCTCCTGAGGCGCTGGGCTCACGGGCGCGGCCAGGCGTCCCACGGGTCTCCCCTGCCTCGAGCACACTCGCGCCACAGTGTCCAGAACAGGACCTGGCACACAGTAGGTCTCAGTAAGTGTCGGGGAGGAGGAGTGACGAGAGGGGCAGGACACAGGACAGCTACGGGGAGGGGCCTAGTGGACGTGGACGGCAGGAAGCGGCCAGGGCCTCCCGGCGGCAGAGGACGGCTGGCGGGTCCAGGAAGTCCCCAGGCCCAGCCGCTCCTCCCGGCAGGCCTCCACCTCCTGGGCCTCCCTGCAGGCCAGATGCTGCAGGAGGCGGAGGCCACGGCGCTGGCCTGGTCCCGTGGGGACCCTGGGCGTCTGGGGAGGAAACCTTGTCCTCCCCGCCTGCCAGGGAGTCCCCGCGCCGCAGCTGCGCGGCGCTGCACAAACAGGAAGCCGGTGGGGAGGGCGGGGGCACTGACACCGCGGCCAGCTGGGTCGGCAGGAAACGGCTGTGGCGGCTTCCCCTGGACACCACTCAGGGGCCACCACCCGTCCTCCCGGAGACGTGTCCCTGAGACTCCCAGCAGGGCACCAGGCACACAGTACCTGCTCCACGAATGGCAGGCACGAACGTCACGCCAGGGGCCGGGGTCCTGGCTGCCAGGGCTGGGTCCTGGACACCCTGGGCGCTGGGCACCGGCATTAGCTCCCTGCAGCCCTGCTGCCCCCTGGGGGCTGGGAGAGGAACTCCCACCACCTCTAGGGCTGAGGGCCCCCTCCCTGGCTCCTCCTGCCCCGCGCTGCTGGTGCCCCTCTTGCCAAGTGTGTGCCAACTGGGCACCCTGCACGGGCTGCTCCTGCTGCCTGGGACACGGTGGCCCTCAGGGCAGTGGCCAGGCACTGTGCTGAATCGTCCTGACCCTGGTGATTCGGCTCCGAGGGGGTCACCGGTCATGTTCCTGGCACCTGGCAAATCTTAACAGACCCCCTCTCGCGCCCCACGGGGAGGTCTGCACCCGGGGTTGGCTCCAAGCGCCAGCCTCCACCTGCCCGGCCTCCGCACCTGGGGCACCTGCACCCCTGCCAGGCAGCTCTCCTACCTGTGCCCTCACGGCCTTTCAGAGTGGAGTCGGTGGCACTGAGCGCGTCCACAGTGCTGTGCCACCAGCACCCCGACCTCTTCCAGAACCTTCTCCTCACCCCAAATAGCCCCGGCCCTCCCCAGCCCTGCCCCACAGGTCCTCTCCCATCTCTGCACTCCTGGACTCTCCTGTCACTGCGTCACACACTGTGGCCTGTGTGTCTGGCTCTTGCTGAGCACGAGGTCCTCAGGTCCCTCCACGCTGCAACTGTGTCACCTCGCTCCCGCCCTGGCTGAGGACGCTGCGTGGTGAATGGGCCACTGTGTCCACGCACCCACTCACGGACACTGGGTTGTTTTTCAGTTTTGGCCACTGTGAGCCATGGGACATCGAGTCCCATGTGGCCGGCCACTCCCGCCTCTCTTGTCCACACTTGGGCACCCCTTCCACTCGGAGAGCGTGGCCGGGGGCGGTGGGCAGGGCTGGCCCAGGCTGACCCTTGCTTTCCTGTGACCACATCAGAGTGCTCACTCCTCCGTCTCTGAGAACAGAGGACCTGGAACTCTGGGGTTGGGGTGTGACGCCCCTGATCACCCACCAGGGAACCGGGCCTCGCCGACCAGGGCAGCCTGTGCCACGCCCGGGCTCCCCACCCGCTGCAGGGGCTCTGGCTCAGGCCAGCCATGGCGGGGAGCAGACAGGCCTGCTTGGCCACCGCCTGCTGACCCCACCATCTCCCTGTTCCAGACACAACTGACTTCCAGGAGAGCTTTGTCACCTCCGGCGTGTTCAGTGTCACCGAGCTCATCCAAGTGTCCCGGAGTGAGTGTCCCCGTGGGCCCTGAGATGGGACCTGGAGAGGGAAGGGGGCATCAGAGAAGAGCCCACCACCCTCCCCTGCTCCCTGTCACCAACCCAAGACTGCCAGGACAGGAGGTGGCAGTGCCCTTCCCAGAGCCCAAGGTCCTGGTGACAGGCCCCCTCCCCAGAAGCCAGAACCCAAAGGCCAGGCAGAAGCCCAGCCCTGTCCCCTGCCTTCCCTGTGGGCCTGCTGGACACCCCCATTTTGATCTTAGCGCTGGCCAGTGCCCCCCACCAGATCCGCAGAGCCTGGCCTCCAGCCCCGGCTACTCCTCTGCCTCCCAGGCGGCCTTGGCCTCCGCCCATGGCCTCGGTTTGCTGGTGCACAGAAGGCAGATTCTGGCCGAGCTGATGGCCAAGCCAATTGGGGAAGGAGCCCCCCTGGGGATGGCCACTGGGTGGTGCCGCCCTCCCTCACTCTCCTTTCTGTTGCCCTGGGCAGCACCTGTGGTGACCGGGACAGGACCCAACTTCTCTCTGGGAGAGCTGCAGGGGCACCTGGCCTACGACCTGAATCCCGCCAGCACGGGCATGAGAAGGACGCTGCCCAGCACCTCGTCCAGCGGGTGAGCGCCCAGGCCCTCCCCTGCGGGGTTCCCGGGGAACCCCCATCGCCGCGCAGCCCGGGCCCGCAGTACCGGCCCCCACACTCCGCTCGGCCACACAAACTCCTACTCATCCCTCAAAACCCCGCCTGGGGCCCGAGATGGGACGTGCCCCATCTGCAAATGGGGCTGGGTACTACGGGGCGGGCTGCCTGCCAGGAGGAGCCGAGCCGCCCCGTCGCCCCAGGTGGCCCCGCCACACGCAGGGAGGTCGGAACAGGTGTCCACGGCGCTCGGCGCAGGCCGGCTCCCGTGAAGTCTCGCGATAGCACCTCCCGCGCCCCGCCCCTTCAAGCCGGAAATAGCCGTCTGCCCCAGCCTCCCTGCGTCTCCATGGTAACTGGTCTCCCTTTCCCTCGCTCCTTAGGAGTAAGCGGCACAAATCGGGCTCGATGGAGGAGGACGTGGACACGAGCCCCGGCGGCGACTACTACACTTCACCCAGCTCTCCTACGAGTAGCAGCCGCAACTGGACAGAGGACATGGAAGGAGGTAGGGCTGGAGACGGGGACGGAGCTGGCCTTCCGGTTGGGTTACAGCGGCCAGGACTACGTATCCCGGCAGGCACTGCGCGGGCGCCGGGTCAGGAAGTCGACCCGGGGCCGCGGAGCCTCCTGGGAGTTGTGGTCGCGCCGGCAGCGTGCTTGGGAAGTAAATCCGGGTTCACGTGTTCCTGCAGCTGTTTGGTTCCGTGCTATCCCGGAAGGATCGGCACTGCCGCTCTCTGGGCTCCCCTTCGATGCAAAGATCCCTGCGCCTTGGGGTCCTCCGCGGGACTCGGGCCGTCGGGGCTCTCGTCCTGCACGGGCCTCCATTCCCGTGGCGTCCCTCCCCGGAGCGAGTCCTGTGGGCGGGGGCCTCCTAGGGCCCTCCCCAGGGCACGTTTCTCGTGGGACTGGGCAGCGGCTCCTTGGGGTCACTTGGCTGCCTCCGAGGTCCCCTTCTGGGTCCCTGGCCTCGCGGCTGGCGTGGCCCCGAGGAGGGTGGCGCTGACGCGCCCCAGACCCTCAGCTGACCCACCCCACGGTGGTCTCGGTCCGCAGCTCCAGGTCCTCCGGGTGTGGGAGGGACCCGGGTGGGACCCCCGGCCTGCCACCGCCCGGCCTCAGTGCCGCCCGCCCGCGGTGAGCGGGAGGAGGTGGGCGAGGCCGAGGTGAGGTGCGCTGGCTGGTGTCTTCCTGGGATCAGCCCAGGGTGTCTACGTGTGGGTCTCTAAATGCATCGGGTTGCTCTCTTGTCACCGTGTGGACGGCCACAGCACTGCAGCCCCAGGGAGCCCTGTCTTTCTGGTCCTAGTGTTTGGTTCAGTGTCTGGGTCCCCGTCTGTCAGGCTTGTTTCCAGAAAGGCCCTGTATTTAGTAAGCTTAGGTTTGCTCGGAAGAGAGAGCCAACCCAAAGGATACTCCGTTTCTCTCTCAGGTAAATGTCCAGCTGTTGGCATACCCGGGCAAGAGTGACAAGGGACTCAGACTCCTGCCTTGGATTCCACTAAGCATAGTTTTCCTTTCCACCTCATGGTCCAAGATCACTACTGGAGCTCCAGCCATCAAGGGTGCACTCCAGCTAGGTGTGGTGGTGCATGCCTATGATCTCAGTGACTCAGGAGGCTGAGACAGGAGGATCACAAGTGTGAAGCCAGCCTCAGCAACTTAGCAAGGCCCCGTCTCAAAAAATAAAAGAGGCTGGGGGTATAGGTCAGGGGTGAGGCACCCCTGGGTTTGATCCCTGATACCAAGAAAAAAGAGAAAAAGCTGCTCTTTTCAGAAGTGGCATTTAAACTCTTCCTGCTGTCTCTGTGCCCAGGAGGCATTCATGCGGCCATTCTTAGCTTCCAGGGGTGCCAGGGAGTCTTGCTGTGGGCATCCTGTGCCGCAGGCTTCTCTCACAGGGGACACCGGGAGGGCAGACCTCGGCGAGCAGTGCTCCGCTGCCCAGTGGCTCTGAAAGGGAACCCTGAGGCTCAGGGTGGGGACGCTGGCCCAGCTGGCCTGTGCCAGCCCCCAGGCACCCCACTGGCTGCCTTTCACTGGCCACACCCCTCATATCCCTGCCAGAAACCCCCTGTGGGGTTGGTGCTGGCCGGGCCCAGGAGTCCCCATGGTGGGGGACCGAGGTCCTGCCCCCCGGGTCTCTCAATAGACGTGCCTGGGGCAGTGGACAGGAGCCTGCTCTGTGCCATCTTCAGGCTCCCGTGGTCACCTCTTCCAGAGCGGGACATTAAACGGAGCCTGCTGCAGGTCATACCCCCAAGGCCAGAGCCCGGGGTGGGGGCGCAGCTTCCCCAGGCCCCCCACTCCCAGCTCAGGGTGGGCAGTGCAGGGGAAAGGGGAGCCTGCCCGCTGCCCCCGTGTCCCTCGTCCCTCAGGGAGGCACAGAGCGAGCACCAGCCAGAGGGCAATCTGAGGTGGCTCCCATGAGCCGCCGGTCACCCCCCCCAGGGCTGCTGCGTGGGCGTCCAGACTGGAATGGGGGGGCACCACCATAAAGGCCACATGGGTGACGCTGTCCCCAGGGGCCCTGGCCATGTCTGGGGACACGTTGGCATCAGTTGGGGAGCGCCTGGCCTGGGGACCCTGCTCAGCACCTGCAGTGCCCGGGTCACCCGAGAACCGCCCAGTGCCAGGCCCAAGGGCCACGCTGGGCGGGGTCCGAGCACTGCCAGGAGTGGGACGCTGGCCCCCTGCAGCAGGGCCGGGTGCCCGTCCTGTCGCCGTGCACCACCCACGTCCCTGCCTGCCTGGGTCCTGGGCCTGCTGTGGACCCACAGGCCCGGAGCAAGCAGAGCGGCCGGCCCACAGGGCAGACAGGTGGGGCCTCTTTAGTAAAGGGAGCCAGTGGCATCCCATGGGGACTCTGGCACACGAACTCCCATGACACACTGGGGCCCGTGGCAGCGTGTCCGAGGGGCGTCTGGGCCGAGGGGCGCGATGGGGTCTGTTGGACAGCCGGCGCTGGCCAGGCTGCGGGGCACGCAGTGGCTTGGTGAGTGGGCCCTGCCAGCCTGTGGGTCCCAGGGCAGCTGCCGGGATGGGGCACCGACGTGTGTTGGGCAGGCGGGGGACGCTGGGCAGTGCCGTCACCCTCTGGAGGCTGCGGGGCAGGGCCGTCCACACCTCCGTCCGTGCCCTGCCGTCCTGGGGGGTCCCAAGCACCTGGCCGGCCTTGCCCTGCAGGCCCCTGCCCGTGCCCTCTGGGCCCCCCCAGCCACTCCTGGCCCTGGGAGAGCCCGGGCCCTGCTCCCAGCCGCCCTCTGCTGGTATCCCTTGTGGTGTCCAGGTGGGCAAAGGGCTTCTTGGGTGGTCCATCCTGCAGGCATCCATTGCTGGGCCTCCTAGAAGCCTCCGTTGAGGCCATGGCCCCCCTGCCCCACAGGCGCGGGCTCTGCCTGTCCCCAGGCCCTGCGACCCACCACCAGGCTCACCCACCACCAGGCTCACGGCAGTATCGCAGCCACCAGGGGCAGCGGGGCAGCCGCGCTGTGGCCGCGCGAGCAGAGACCAGGAGGCGCCCTGGCCAGCAGGTGTCCTGAGCCTGGAGCCCGCCTGTCAGACCCTCCCCTGACTCTGCTTTGCCCCCTGGTGAGACCCCGGGTGGGGGTCCTGCGCTCCTCTGCCCACCCGGCCCTGCCTGCTGCTCCCGTGTCCGCCACCGCCCGGTGCGCTCTGGTGTGAGCGGGCTCTGCTGTGCACAGTTAGCGGCTGCACAGTCCCCCCCGCTGGCTCGGGGGTCGGGCTGGGCTCCACCTGTGGTCATCCAGCTGCCCGCCCACGGCCTCAGACCCTGGGGCCTCCTACCCTGCTCCGAGCCTCGCCGCTCCGCCAAGAAGTGGGCTCCCCGGCCCCGGGACAGGAAGTGGCGTGACACGCTGAGCCTGTGGGCGCTGGCGCTCGGGAGGTCTGGGGTCCTGGGAGCATGACCCCTCGACCTGTCATCCCTGTCCCTACAGGCATCTCGTCCCCGGTGAAGAAGACAGAGATGGACAAGTCGCCCTTCAACAGCCCGTCCCCCCAGGACTCACCCCGGCTGTCCAGCTTCACCCAGCACCACCGGCCTGTCATCGCCGTGCACAGCGGTGAGTGTCTTGGGCCCCGGCCGGGAGGGGTGCTGGGCCCTCAGCTCAGAGCCATCACCCCCAGGGAAGTCCCACGAGACGTCTGACCAGGAGCCATATGGCTGTGGCCTTCCAGCCAGGAGAACACAGAGGTGGTGAACAGTGCACAGGGCTGAGTCCCCGCTCTGCCAAGAGGACTCAGCCTGGGACTCGCCCCACTGTGCCCCCGGGGCCCTGCGTGGTCCTGTCCCTGTGTCCCCCAGACACGCTGGCTCACCGGGCAGAATCAGAAGCTGCCACCAGGCCAGAGTGCTGTGGAGCGGGCTGCGTGCGGCCTTCTCAGGGACCTGAGAGGGAGGCCAAGGCCAGGCCGGCCCTGCCTGGGCACACCCTCCCCACAGGAGAGGGGTCACAGAAGGACGTGCACCGCAGCGGCACAGGCCAGCAGCTGGTCACCGTGCTGGCCCACTCCCTTGCGCACTGGTGGGGGGATTAGTGGCCACACGGCTTGTCCCCGCAGGAGCCTGGAACAGGCTCAGGGCTCCCCCGGCACCAGCCCCTGCCACACATCTGGCCAGGCGGCCACAGGCCACCTCGGGAGGCAGACACAGGGCAGGACCCGCGTGCTGGGGCCAGGAGTTGGCCAGGGAGGCCCCGGCCGACCGCTCCTGTCCGAGACGTGTGGTGGGCACGTGGCCCAGACCAGCCTCGCCCTGGGGCTGCGAGCAGGGCAGCCGGGGACACACAGGAAAGCCACTCTACGGGGCGGGTGACTGCGGCACAGCAGGTGCTCAGGGCGCCGAGCTGTGTAGGAACGCGCACCCGGAGGTCCTCGGCCCCACCTGCAGGAGCGAGGTGGCAGCTGCAGCTCAGTGAGAGCCAGACACCCAGGCCACCAGATGTGACCCAGTGACAGGAGGGTCCAGGACAGCAGAGTCCAGACATGGGACGTGGACCCAGCAGGGGCAGGACTAGGAGGGCCAGGGCTTCCTTAGGGGTGACGGAATGTTCTAGAATCTGTGGTGACATTTGCAGTTTCGCGAGGATACCGAACAGCACTGAATTGCAGGCTGTCCCAGGGGACAGGGGACTTCATGGTGCCCTCGGGGGACTGTTTCTCAGGCCTCAGAGAGCCAGAGCCCACGGGTGCCCTGTCCCCTGTGGGGAGGGTGGTGCAGAGCCAGCTTGGCCTCCACGGACCTCAGGGGTCTCCAGACGTGAGCGCACCCGTGGGGCTGGCTCGTCCTGTGTGTGGAGACGGCGGCGAGCCGCACGTGCTCAGGACGGTGCCGCCTTGCCCAGGTTCCCCCTCCGAGGGTCCAGCTGAGGGTCAGAGCCCCAGGCCCCAGGCTGCACTATTAGGTGCAGGTGGACGCGGGGCCTTTGCCATGGGAGCAGAGGACGGCACCCAGGGCCCCTCGTGGGTGCAGGGAGCCCCGGCCCCAGCCCCGCGTCAGTTCTAACAAGATCTGTTCTCTGGCCCTTAGGAAAGGCCTTGCCGAGGCCCACGTCAGGCGGACAAGGGACCAGGCGGCCTGGGCTCAAACCCCAGGGTGGCCACCTGCTTGCTGGTGGCCACAGGCAGGTGACCCGTCTTCCAGGTCACGCTGACACCCTCTGTTTTGAACAGACGGGAGCCGGGCGCCGGAGCCGCTGGTCATCCGGCTGCTCAGGAGCCGAGGCGGGAGGACGGCCGGCTCCAGGGCAGCCTCAGCAATTAGTGACGTTCTGCCCCCAGATAAAAAGGCGCAGCGGGTGGCGGGGGACTCGCAGACGTGCACAGGGCCTGGGTCCCATCCCAGCCCTGCAAAAAAAATAAGTTGGGGACAAGACAAGGCGCCTCTGGGCTCCCGGGGGCCGTGAACTTGAGGATGCAGCTGGGTGGCCCTGTGGTATCGCGTCCTGTCATCGAGCACCAGGAAGCGGGTGTGGGCCATGCCCACGGCCCAGCAGCCCCGCCCGTGACCCCTGCCTCCTGCTGTCTCCACAGGGATCGCCCGGAGTCCTCACCCGTCCTCGGCCCTGCACTTCCCCACCACGTCCATCCTGCCGCAGACGGCCTCCACCTACTTCCCCCACACGGCCATCCGCTACCCACCTCATCTCAACCCCCAGGACCCCCTCAAAGATCTCGTCTCGCTGGCCTGCGACCCAGCCAGCCAGCAGCCTGGACCGGTGAGTGGTGGGCGTGGCTCCGGGGTGGCCACCGGCGACCCTGGCGCCTAGCGGCCGCAGCGCCTCCATTTCCATTGGCTTTGCCAATGCAAGTGTGGCATTCCCCGCGTCCGTCGGGCTGGGCCGAGTGGGTGGTCCACCGGGCACCGCCGGGCCCACAGCACCGCCAGCCCGAGTGCGCGGAACCTGTAGTTGGGCAGCGGCCAGTGGTCCGGCTCGGGCAGTGCGGAGACTCCACAGACCTTGGCACTGGGAGTCGGTGGGTCCTCATGGTAAGGTCACCACCATCGGTCGTGTCTGGAACGAGTTAGGAGAGCGCCGGCCGCGTCTGGCACGAGGTGACAGGGCTCAGAAGGGGAGTGAGGGACTGCGGGTGGCACACGAAGGAGGCCACACGGGCACCCCAGCCGCGCCCGGGCTCAGGCGCTGTTGAGCGCTGTCCCCGGGGCTCTCCCTGGGCTGCTCTCAGACCCACCGCCCAGCACCCCACCTGGCCGTGGACGGGGCGGGGCTCTCAGCTCCAGCATGGCCCGGCCGCAGGGACACCCGTCCCCTAACCACGTGTCCCCCGTCCCCCAGTTAAACGGAAGTGGCCAAGCTGTGGCTGCTGCCCTCCCACACAGGTGCCGCTGCCCCGGCCGCCCCCCACCTCCGCCGCGCCCCACGCCTGTCCTAGTGAGCGCCCGGGGCTGGCTGTCCAGGGCCCTGGCCCCACCTGCCCAGCAGAGCTCAGCTAGCTGATGGCCTGCGTGGGCCAGGATGGCCCCCAGGACAGCAGCAGTGAGCCACGGCCCGGGCCACAGTCCAAGGTCCACTTACCTCACCACGTGGCCTCGGGGACCCGCGAGCCCATCTGGGGCTCAGAAGCCCTGCTGTGCCCGGGGCTCCTAGCAACAGACATGATCTCACTCGGGCGTCCCCAGGGCCACCCGGCCCCACGTCTTCTGTGGAAAGTAGACACCATGGCTGCCGTCGGAAGCCGGGGCTTCACCTAAAACCCCAGAGCCGGCCGCCAGCAGGGGGGCTGGACACAGGGCCCTGTTCCACACCTAGCGACGACCGTCCCCCCTGCCAGGCGACCCAAGCACATCCTCTGGCCCTTCCTGAGCGCTGGAGTACAGCCGGCCAGTCCTGGACTGTTCCAGGCCACTCCTGTCCCTGTCCTGGGCTCATGGTGGCCCCCATGGGGCCTCCCCTGCCACAACAGCACCTGCCAGGGCCGCGCACCCCCTCTGGGCTGCAGGCCCCCCTTAGGCCCAGGCCCTAGTGCCTGGTCTCATCAAGGCCAGGTGCAACCCTGGGGCCGTCCTGCCCGCCAGCCGCCTGTCCTGCCTCTGTGCTTTCTGTCCCGGGGTCGAGCCCCGTCCCCAGCCCGTGGGTGTTCATATAAGGAGGGTCTCACGGGTCACTGAGGCTGGCTTGGAACTCGTGTCCTCAGCCTCAGCCCCCCGCGCTGCTGGGGCCACGGGCCTGGTCCCGCCCACCACCCTCCTTCCTTTCAAGCACTCGTCCTCCCCTCCTGGGCCAGCTCCTCCCGGTGGGGGCCAGCTCACCCCCGGCCGTCGCCACCCCTGCCCCCCAGGGTGGGACGTGGGGACCGGCCTTCTCTGAGCCCCGGTTGCGCCGTGTGACCTCAGGGACGCCACTGGGCTAGCCTCAGTCCGCTCAGCCACACGGGTTGGTCACGGTGCCTAACTGGGGACTGCGGGGAGCAGGCTGTGACGTGGGTCAGAAGGACGCTCTGTGTGGTGGCGGGAGTGGGGTCGCCCCTGCGCCCTGCAGTTCTGGCCGCCCGGCTGTCAAAGGGTGGGCGTGGCGTTTGCTGGGACTGCACTGGCGGGGCGCACCTCAGTGAGGGTGTGGTCGGCGTGAGCCCTGGGTCCACCCCAGCACTGCAGAAAGGGACAAGAGCTGGACCGCCCTGGGCCCCTGCAGCCACCGCGTCACAGCGTCACAGAGAGGGACCACAGGGCCCTCCCTCCCGCCTCCCACTGTGCACCCCCCGCCTTCCCCACCTCCCTCCAAGAGGGAAGCCGCCCTGGACCTCCCAGGTCCGGCCTCAGCGCACCGCCGCCTGGCCCACAGCCGTCGGGGCCGCGTCTTTGTGCAGTGACAGAACCCGCAGGGAGTTACGGTAGACCAGGGAGCCGGCCGCCCACCGTGCCCTCCAGCAGGGAGTGGTACTCACGCGTCCTCAGTCACTCATGGCCCCGGCTCCGCCGGCACAGGCTGTGCCCAAGAGGGACACCAAGTAACTCACGGTCTCCCTCTGCCCCGCTCGGCACCCTCGGCCGGGACCCCTGGCCCTGGAGTCAGGACCCCCGCTCTCCAGGATCCGGATCAGCCAGGGGGCCAGCGGCTCGGAGCCACGGGAGCTGGGTACACAGGGCCGGCTCTGTGACCCGGGCAGCAGAGACCCTCTCTGCCACCCGCGCCCCCTCGCTAACGGGCTCTCGGTCTCTCTCCTCCCTGCAGCCTACTCTACGCCCGACACGTCCCCTGCAAACCGTTCCTTTGTGGGATTAGGACCAAGGGATCCGCGGGCGTGTATCAGGCACAGGTAGGGGCCGAAGGCCGGCGGGGGGCGGGGGGCTCAGGGAGAGGCCGCCTGCTGGGCCTGCACCCTCCACTGTGGCGCAGGGCCGGCCTCCCACAGCCCACCAGGGCCTTGAGCCCGCTACTGGCTTCTTGGGACACCAGGCAAGGCTGGACTTCCCGCCTTGGCCTCCGGGGGCACACCACGCCCAGGGATGTGAAGCAGGCCTGAACTGCCCACCACTTCCTAGTGGCATCCGTTTGTATAGAGGGGAAACCAAAGCCCAGAGAGGCAGGCCATTTGCCTGGGGTCACACAGCACATCACCAGAGCCTTCACCCCAGCCTTCATCCCTCCCATGCTCTGGCCAGGGAGGGGCAGGGAGTTGGCTGCCAGGGCATTCCATGATGGGTGGGTGGACCTTCCAGAATAGCATCCCGCCCTACCAGGTCCAGCAGGTGGTGGAGCAGGTGCGGGCTGTGAGGAGGGGCTTCCTTGCAGGTCAGCAGGACAGAGGACAGGGTCAGCCAGGGCACAGTTGTCCTCCCAGGTGGAGTGTGTGCCAGGCGGTCGGCAGGGAGCAGGACGGAGAGGAGCAAGTGCCCTGGCAAGGCCTCAGCCCCAGGCCCAAGCGCCCCTGCACCTGCCCTCCGCTCGGGGCCTGGTCTGCTGCTTCTGCTGGACCCAGAGGCCCGCTCCCTGGCCTGAGGAGGCCACAGGATTTGTGACTAAGAGCAGTGGTGGCCACAGCCCGGCCTCACAGGCCCGGCCACAGAGAGCCAGCTCAGGGCACCGCAGCTCTGCAGAGCTGGTCGTGGGCAGACCCCCGTGTCCAGACCCCCAGCCACCCGAGGTTCTCGGGTAGAGCCCCCAGGCAGGGGCTGGGGAGGCCACCAGAGTTGAGTCCCCAGCTGGGATAGGAGCGTCCCTCTACCCTGGTCACCTGGGCCCTGTGTGACTGTCAGTTGCTCCTGGAGGCCACAGGGGCCGAGTGTGGAGGCAGGTGCCCCTTGCCCGCCCCAGCTGTGCCCCTGGGGCCTCCCCAGCCTCCACCCAGCCTCTCTCCCACGGGACCAGCAGAGGGGGAGACACGCAGCTGAGGGCGGCAGGCGGCACGTAGGCGCTGAGGGGTCGTGGGGGTGGGGAGCTCTGCCTCACGCTCTGAACCGCAGTCTCTTCCTCTGGCCTTAAGCATCTCCTGGAGAGCCTTTGAAGGACAAAGAGCAGGACTTCCCCACACTCCCTCCTGCCCGAGAGCGGGGTCGCCCCCTGCGCCCAGTGCTGACGGAGCCTGGCATCCCCTTGCTGTGCCACCTAGCGCCCTGCCCCCAGGAGCCCGGGGATGTCCCCCCTGCTTCAGAAATGAAAGCTGATGAGGAGGGGGCGGCCCGGCCTCCACGGTCAGCCTCTGCCTTCCATGAAGCTTTCTGACCGACTGCCTCTGGACAGCGCCAGTCGGGGGCAGCGCCACCTGCAGCCTCACCGCCTGAGCCCTGAGCCGGGAGGGAGGCCGAGGCAGGCCGGGTGGTGCCTGGGCTCTCCCCTGTCCATCCTGTCCTGCCGGCTGGACCCTGGGAGCACCTGGAGAGGGCGGGACAGGGCTGGCAGGACCCGGGGTGGCTGGCAGCGGAGGCGAGTGGGAGGCGGGCAGCACGGGTTCTGGGAGATGCCGTGAACGAGGGGCCGCCGGGGCCGAGCTGGCCAGAGGCAGCGTGGGCTTCACCTGGGGCGCGGGGAGCCCTGGAGGACGCTAGTGGGCGGCCAGCCAGGTCAGGGTCGGAGGAAGGCGGCGGGCACTGAGGGGAAGCCGCGTGGCTGGGAGACCTTGTGGGGCGGGAGGGCCCCTCGTGTGTCCTGGGAGCAGTGCTGCCCGAGCTGGCCAGTCCCTAGGGGAGCAGCCTGGAGCCAGACCTGGGGGTGGGGGTGGAGAGGGCCGTCCTGCAGGGTCAGCGCTTCCCCTGCTGGCCACTCCTAGAGGCTGCGCCCTCCACCCCTCCCACATGCCTGGCCCTCGCTCAGCCGCCCCCTCCTCCACCCACGTCCTTCTCAGGCGCCGGGCCCTCCACCCCCGGACTGCAGAACCCCTCAGCGGCTCCCCACACCCCGCTCGCTCGGCGGAGGAGTAGCTGGGGTCGGAGGGCCAAGCCACAGACCCAAGCCACAGTGGCCGCCACAGCCAGGCCAAGATGCTGTGGCCCTCGCCAGGCTGCAGTGGGAGGGGCGGAGGCGAGGTCACCCCATCCTGACCAGGGCTGGAGCCAGGCAGAGCCAGAGGGGTGGGAGGAGAGAGGGATGGAGGGAGGGAGGGAGGGAGGCATCCACCACGGGAGGGTCACGCCCAGAGCCTGTCTGGTTGCCAACGGAAACCAGACATGAGGTAATGGCCGAGATGAACTTGAACTTGGCTGGAGGTGGGGGCCAGAGCCACGGTGTGGGTTCAGGAGAGGCCGGGCTAGGACTCCCGTGGGTCACCCGCCCAGCCTCAGAGGGAGGGAGGGGCCGAGCCCTGAGGGAGAGCTGCCCACACAGGGGCAGAGCCTGTTCCTTTCCGGGGCGGGGGTGTGTGCTGCCACTCCTGTGGGGGCGGGGGCTATCTGCAGTGCCCACCGCCCCGGGCGGTGCAGGGGGCTCCTCAGGCAAGCTGCCGAGGGAGGGGGACCGGGGGCCTCTGTCCAGGACAGTGAGCCTGGACCTAGGGCCCTGCAGCCTGAGTCCCTGCCCAGCCACCTCATGTGGTCACCCTGGGCAGGACAGCTGAGTAGCTTGGGCCCCACTCTATGGATGGGCAGGGAAGAGCCCTGTGCCTGGAGGTCTCGGGGTCACTGAATGGGAAAGACGGTCCGCAGCATGGACGGCCTCCGTCCCAGGGCCTGGCCGCTCCTCTGCGCTGGAGGGTGGGGACCAGGAGAGCCCCGCCCCTTCCTGCTGCTCCAGGCCGAGGTCATGGAGCGAGCCAGCAGAGCGCAGGGCAGCTTGGACCCGGGTGACAGGGCACGTGGGGACATTCTCGCTCCGCCCCACATGCACGGGCTGTGCTGGCGCTGTCCCCGTGAGCGCGAGTCCGCCTTGGCTGGAACCGTTTCTGGCAGCTGGTACAGAGGCCGGGCAGGTGCCCGGGGCATGCAGGGGCTGCAGGGGCCGGGGGCAGGCGTGGACGGGCAGGCCAGGCCAGGAGGACCTGACCCTCTCTCTCTCTCTCCCCACGCTGCCCAGTCCTGGTACCTGGGATAACAGAGGTCTCTTCCCGCCTCTCCTCCATCGTCCTGGGGACCCGGGGCACGGCCCCCACCCGCATTCTTGGTGGAAATCAGAGCGAGCAAGACCGCCCCTGCCGACTCCCAGCTTGGTGCAGGAGGACGAGGGAGGAGGACGAGAGACACACCGTGCCCTCCCGACGCCCCGCGGCCCGCGGGAGGCCGCTACAGGGTCTCCCTAAGTTATTCATCTCCTTCCCACGGCCACCGCTGCCCCGTGGCACCAGCGCTGCCCAGAGACCAGGTGAGCACAACCTGGCGCCTGTGGCCAGGGTCAACGGACGGGCAACGCCCAGCAAGGCCACCTCCCCCTGGGCCTGCGCCACCGCCGCCAGCGTGGGGACCCCGGCCAGTCCCCCTCTGTGGATGGTGATTGCCAAAGAGGGGAGGCAGGTGCTGGTGGGAAGGGGTCAGCCAGGACCCCAGCCTCGGGCAGCAGAGACCTGGACGGAGGGCGCGGTGGGCGGACGAGTGGGGAGGGCTGCAGAGCAAAGTGGGGAGGCCCTGGACGTGGCAGGGGTCCATCGCTGGCACTCACCAAGGAAGGACGCCAGGCGGGCACTTGGGGAGCCCAGGAGGGCCCTGAGGCTGGCCACGCCCTCCCAGACCCCCGAGGACCCGCCTGGCCCTGCTGTGCTGGGGACTTGCCTTCGGCCCTCGGGAGGAGAAGTCTCTATGCAATTAGACCCCAGCCCGCCTGGCGCCGCCCGCCGCCCGCCTGGCACCCAGGGAGGAGCCCGCGCACAGCAGGAGACGCACTTTCTGAGGACGGGGTGGGCCAGACTGAGTGGAGGGGCCGCAGAGCCTCCCTGTCCCCAGGCGGAGGCCAGAGAGTGGTTTAAGTGCCTGATCCCCACCGGCCGCCCCGTGTCCAGCTGGGACAGTGTGGCCGGGCTCCCACCCCCGCTCCCAGCCACCTCCACTCACGGGCCCCTCATTGCTGTGTCCCCAGAGCTAGAGAGATGGGACCCCAGGGCTGCGCTGGGCAGGCCCCCGCCTCCTCGCCAGTGCCTTACACCTGGAGCAGCCCGTGCCTGCGCCCCCAGGGACCCCTGTGCACTTTCACGTCCCGCGAGGGGAGGTGCAGAGCCACCTGGAAGGGGAGCGGGCCTGGGCGGAGGGCTCTGGGGACAGGCCTGGGCGTCCACCTGCAGCCCAAGGACCTCTCATCCGCTACGCGTTTCCGTTGAGCTGCTCCAAAACACTAAGCTGGGCGCCGGGGACCCTGACCCCGGCCCAGCCATCCCACCGTCCCCTCCTAGGATTGCTGTTGTGGGGCCCCGATGGCGGTGCTGTGTGTTTGGGGGCCACTGAGCCCAAGCGCAAGGACCCCTTCTGGCCCACACATCCCAACTGACACCCTTCATGCCTGGCGCTGGGGACAACCCCAAGACCCGCCCCGCCCCGGGCCAAAGCCATCATGCAGGACAGGCCCTCCAGGCCCGTCCACCCCACGCTGCCCCGACCGTCTCACCCCCACCCCAGCTTCCAGACTCTCCTCCCAAATTGGCCCCGGGGCCTTGGCCAACCTGCTGGTCACTTGGAGAAAGACCCTTCGCTGGCCCCCCACTGCCCCTTTGCCCAGAGGGTCCTGCCATCCTCAGCCTCGAACCCTTGGTCCCTCTGTCTGTCCGTCCGTCCATCCTCAGGGCCCCTCCACTGGGTGACCGTTTGGGGACCAAAGCGTGGGCCACTCTCGGGCAAAGCAGAGGCATCTGGAAGCGTCTCAGCCAGGGTGGGGGTGGGGAGGGGCCGCACGGGGGACCTGGGGTCGGGGCGCACAGAACCAGCTCTTTACCTACTTTGCATGGTGCTTAGGACCCCGCGGCCCGGCTCCGGCGTCGCCCACGGTGGCGCCTGCATGGCAGATATACCTGGCTCTGTCCCTCCGCCTCCCGGCCCCCTCTTGAAAAAATCAAAAAATCCTTTAAAAAGTTCCATGTTTCCTAATTTGCACGAAGTTTTCTACCACATGATGTGCCTTGCCTCGGAGAATAAGTATTATTCAACAGTATCGGCTCTCAGCTGCATGTGTGCACGCGTAGTCAGGCCACGGGACGGGTACAGTCCACGGGGTGTACTTCTATTTGTAAAAAAACAAAAAAAAAAAAAAAAAAAGAAGAAGAAAAAGATTTTTTTAAAGAAGCCAAGCTCTGAACAGGCCCGCAGCTGTCCCTCGGTCTGCGCCCTGCCCGCCCGGCCGGCTCCTTGGCTCCGCTGCACCGGGGCTCCCTGGTGCTCACCTCTGCCACCCCAGCCCAGGCCCATGCTCCACAAGGGTCATCTGAGTCCCTGCCCTGGCCCAGGGAGGACTTCCCACACCGGGCACAGGCCAGCCACGCCTGCAGCCTGCAGGTGGACCTCCCGCCCCCCGTGCACACCTGGTCAGGGTCAGACTGCTGCCCCACCCAGGGCACCTCCTCTTCCCCACCCGCACCCCACCTTCTCACCAAAGGACCAGCCTCGGGGGCACTGCCAGCTCCGTCTTCCAGCTGTGAGCAGGAGGTGCCGGCCGCAGCGCAGAGAAAGGCAACTATGCAACACCCGTCCCCGGTCAGCTGGGCCTGGCCCGGCCGGGGCCGCAGGGCACTGCAGCCACCAGGGCACCGAGTCACGAGCCTCAATTGGCCCCGGTGGTCACCAGGCTGTCGCTTGTCCCTGACCTGCGTTCTCTGTCCTCTTTCTCTCCCCCTCCCCTCTCCCCTCCCCCTCCCTCCCCCCCTCCCTTCCTTAATTACAGTTCCTTTTGCTCTTTACTTGACCAAAGTTAAGACAGTAGCCAGGTGGTCAGTGGGCAGCCACATGGGCAGGAGTCTCCGACCTGGGCCCCCCACTCCCCCCCAGGCCCCAGGCGTCCCACACAGGTCACCAGGCGAGGGTCCCAAGGGTCCTGCCCTCAGGACAAGGATTGGCCCAAGAGCACTGCATGACATCCTGAGTTTTCTCCGGAAAGCCACCTTGTGCTCCAGGAGACTGCCAGGGCCCCCAGTCTGGCCGTGGACTGCCCTTAGGGACCACCCTTGGCCTGGGCTCATGGTTGACATTGCTATCTCTGGCTTTTCATTGTGCTCCTCCTGAGTGTCACCTGGGAGGCAGGGGCAGACGGAGTGGGTGGCATGGTCCCCAGGACCGTCTTGCCCTCCGTGGCCACGTACCTCAGCACACCCCTCAGGAAGACAGCCGCGGGCACTGCCCTAGCCCCAGCCACAGACGGCTCTCAGGCCCTCACGAGGGTGGCAGGCGGGTCCATGCCAGGCAGCGCACTGTCCTGGGGCCACCAGGTTCTCAGACTGCCCTGCTTCTCAGAAAAGCCACAGTGGCTGGCCCCCGCACACGGAGAGCCAGCGTCCCTGCTGGCCTGCGGCGGGCACAGGGTGGGTGTCTTTGTCCTGTGGGGGGTGGGGGGTGGTTTCTCTTTCCTGCATGAAACTGGCATCTCCCAGACAGGTCCTCTCCCAAGCCCACTGCCCCCCCCCACACCCCATCGCCCACCTCGGCCCCCAGGGAGGAGCCGAGCCTCCCAGCCACAGCAGGCAAGGCCCCTCAGGCGGCCCTTGGGGCCCCACTCACGCCAGTTGCTCCACCCCTTTCCCCAGGTGGGGCCCTCACTACCCGGCTGGCCAGGCCAGAAGGGGGTGGCCGGTCCCGTTGGTGTGGGGGCGAGGCATGCAGGGCCCATTGCCCAGGTTGGGTCCAGAGCCACACGCAGGCTGGACACTCAGATGCCAAAGGAATGCCCAAGGGAACAGGGAGGACCTGGGGCCGAAGGACCGCCACCTTGGGTGATAGCTCCCCGGCAGGTGGTGGCAGCCTCTGCCACTACACTGTTCCCGGCGGGGGACCTTCGCACATCCCCACCACACCACGGCCGCTGCACACTGTCTCCCAGAGGTCTGGGGGCACAGCGTGCCAGCCCTCCCCGCTCCGGCTTCTCAGGCGCCTGAGGTCCTCGGGCCTCGGCGCAGACTGTGGCCTGCAGGTGGCACCGGACTCCCCGCCCGCCGGGTCCTCTGCCCGGCTGCCCCCTCGTGCTGGGAGTGAGATCCAGCCTGGATCCAGCTCCTCCTCTCCCTGGGATGCCCCGAGTCCCCCTCTAAGGTACCCTGTCCCTTGTCCCCTGTCCCCAAGTGAGCGAGCGCTGGAAGCAGGGTGCGGTGGGCTGCCGGGGCAGGCGGAGGCAGCCCCAAAGCTGCGCCAGCAGAACCCCTTGCCCACGATACCAAACCAGACTCCGCGCAGTGCCTCACGGTCTGCTGCCGCGGCTTTGGGCCCCTCCCCACCCGGTGTCCCCTAGCCCAGCCCGTGGGCCGGGGGGGAGGGCAGGCCGGAGAGGGGGACGCCTCCCACCACCTCGACCCCGGCCCCCCTCCCACCCCACCTGCGGGCTGGGCAGGGCCCCTCCAGCAGGAGCCCCAAAGCCCACTCCCCAAATGCATGCGAGCCCCCTTCTCCCACCCTGAGCCCAGCCAGAAGCCAAAGCCCCTCCAAGAGCAGGGGGCCCAGCCCACCCCTGTTCCCTGCCTGCCCCTCACCTGGCCAAGAGCACGCTGGGGGACAGGACAGGAGCAGGGAGGGGTCAGCTCCCTCTGGGCCCTTCCCCCCCTCCGCCCCCCCCCCCCCCCGCCCCCCCCTCTCCCCCCCCCCCCCCCCCGCTCTCTCTCTGTCCCCCTCCTTTGTCCCCTGTAGTTTTGGCTGGGGATTCTGGGGACCCTGTCCCTCTTGTTTCCTGGAGGTTGTTTGAGTTTTCGGGTTGGTTTTGGATCTGCTCACAGCAGGACAGTAGTCTGTCCCTTGCTTTCTGCTTGTGGCACACCCGAGGACACGCGCACACCCCTGCTTGGAACCACGCGGACGCTTCTGGCCAGCCTGTGGCCACTGCCGCCCAGTCCCTCCCCGGCAGGCGAGCGAGGGGACAGAGCGCCCCGCGGGCTGGCTCGTGCCCCGCCGTGGCCTGGTACCGGTTCTGGTTTGCGGACGCGCTGCCGAGTCCCGTTTGCGGGAGGTGACTCTGGCTGCTGTTACTCTGTTGTTTCCCTATGCAAAAAAAAGAAAATGGGGGGCCATAAAGGTTCAATAAAAGGCAAAAAAAAAGAAAAATGTATAAAGATTAAACAAGCTCTGCTTCCACTCCGGCTGCCTGGAGCCTCCTTCCGCGCCCAGCTGGGCTGGCCTGGGCCTGGGCCTGTGGCACCGCGAGGGGGAGTGGCTCAAGTGCTCCCCAGGGCATGAGGTCTGGGGCACTGGTGACTGTCACACCTGGGGTGGCCTGGTCCAGACGGTGGAGGCAGGAACACTGCCCAGCACCCTGCAGGGCCCATGATGCCACCAGAGAGTGGCCTGGCCCTGTGTCCCCAGCACCCACGGAGCGCTGCCCTGGCAGTGGCCGGTGAGCCTTCCTGCAGCGGCTCCTCTCTGGGCCCGCTCAGCCTCTTCCAAGCCAGGAGCAAGGGAGTGCAGAGGCCAGGGGGCCTCGCACGAGGAAGCAGCGTGGACAGCCCCTGGCAGAGGCCACTGGCAAGGGCCCCGGGCAGGACGGCCTGGCGGGCTGTGGCACAGGGAGAGCCCGCGGGCTGCGGCGGAGAGCGAGGAGGAGGGAGGCAGGGAGGACCTGGGCTTTGACCAGAGGGAGGTGGGAGCCATGGGCTGTGGACAGAGGAGGGGCCTGGCTCGGTTCCACCACTTCCACCTCCAGGGAGGTGTCCCGTCCGCCCGCAGACCCCTGGCCGCATTGCAGCCACCCCTGCCCAGTAGCCCTCCCGAGGCCCAGCCCCCCAGGTCAGCCATGTCTGTGTGCCCGGCCTTCCAGTCTGGCACCCCTCAAGGCTGGGGCCAGGGAGGTGGGGGGCCACGGAGCCCAGGAGCACCCAGGTGTGGGGGCCACACGTTTCCTGGGGGCCTGGGTGCTGTACCCCGCCCCTGTCCCAAGCACTCCAGGACCCCATGGAGCCCAGGGTGGGTGAGCAAAGCCCCCCTGCTGCCCAGGGCCCCTTCCTTCCTTCCCAGTGGCGAGGGGGGACCATGTCCTTCCTACAGAGGCAGCTGGGCACAGCAGGGCGGCGAGGCGTGCAGGCCGTGCGGGTCCACCTGGCCCTCGGCTCACAGCCCCGTTCCTCCCCCAGCTGCCCTGTCTGCCTCCCGAGCCTCCTCTTCTGCCCTTCCCACTGCCAGAGGAGGAGGACCCAGGGAACAGGCTGCAGGGAGGGGCCCGGCCTCGGCAGGCTCCACGGGGCCTGGGCACGCTGCGCCCCAGGGCCCTCTCCCCCCAGGGGAGGTGGGAGCCCAGGCCTCCGCGTCCTCCTGCTCGGCTTCCTGAGCTCAGGATGGTGTGGGCACGTGGGCAGCCGGGCCCTGAGGGGATGGGGGACAGGGGATGGGCGGGAGTGGGGGGGGGGGGGGTGGGGGGGGTGGGCGGGGGGGTGGGGGGGGACAACCAGGATGAGTGGCTGGGGCGGGTGGTAAAGATGCTACTGTCCTGTTTGAGTCCCATATTAGGACAGGTGGCCGGAGGGCCTCTGTGAGGCGCTGTGAAGCCCTGTGGCGGCCTGTGCTCCTCCAGCTGCCCAACTGCCTCCCTATAGGCGAGGGCTCTGGGAGGTGGGGCCCCACCTGTGGTGGCCACATGCACTAAGTGGGTGACCCCCAGATGAGCAGGCAGAGGCCAAGATGGCCCCAGGCCCAGCAGCCGCTGCAGGCAGGAGCAGGCCGGCAGCGCAGGCATCCGGGTGGGACCCACACCCCTCCCACCCCTCCCTCCTGCTGAGGCCTCACAGACGGGTCCCCCGCAGCTTGAGGACCCAGATGAGCAGGGAGCATCAGCTGAGGCCGTGCAGGACCAGCCAGGGCCCAGCAGGCTGCAGGTGCAGCTGGGCAGGAGGAGGACCCCAGGGCAGGGTGGGGCTGGTGTCCCTGGAGGTGGAGGGAGCACGCTAGGGAGGGGCTGGAGGGGCCCAAGCAACCCAGCACCCCGGCTCCCTGAGGTCGCCCGATCCCCACTCCCCAGGGCAGCAGAGGTGGGTCCTGATTCCTGGGCAGCAGGCCTTTCGATGGCTCCTTCAACCTTGTGACCTCTTTCAGGTCCCACAGAGCTTCCAGACTGGGGTGATCAGAACTCCCTCCCGTCTCCCATGTTGTAGAACAGGAGCCAACTGCAGGTTCAGAGAGGCTGGGCCACCTCCCTAGGGCTGCGCAGCACTCCAGTGGAACAGAAAAGGACGCCCACTCACAGCTCTGTCCTTAGAGGAGAACCTCTGGGCTTGACCTTGGGGAACCTGCAGCCACCCGCATCCCAGGGGCAGCCAGGGCTCCAGCTCTGCCACCACCAGAGGGAGGCCTGTCCTGGGAACTCCCGTCTTCCTTCAGCATTTGGCTGCAGAAAAGCAGGAGGCTCCCGGCACCAAGGAGCACTGCTGGGCCCACGTCAGTCATCCTGGGGTCCTCTGCCCCCTGGCGGGCCATCCTGGGGGTGTCCCAGACAGAAGTGGAGCCACCTGGCTGAGCAGGCATGTGTGCCCACAACCCCACCCAGAACGGCATCTCAATCGCTGGCCTTTACCAAGCTCCTCACAAGGAACAGCTGAAGCCACCAGGCATGGCTGTCACCCAGCCACTTGGGATCTGAGCAGGAGGGTCACAATTTCCAGGCCAGCCTGGGCAACTTATTGAGGCCTGTCTCAGAATAAAAGGATTGGCTGGCGATGTGGCTTCGGGTAGAGCTTTGCCTACACTCTGCCAGGCCCTGGGTTCCATCCCCTGGCCAGAGAAGAAGAGGACAGGAGGAGGAGGAGGAGGAGGAGGAGGGGAGGAGGGGGAGGAGGAGAAGCAGAAGGAGAAGCAGGATGAGGAGGAGGAGGAGGAGAATGAGGAGGAAGAGGAAAAGGAGGAGGAAGAGAAGCAGGAGAGGAAGGAGGAGGAGGAGGTGGAGGAGGGGGAGGAGGAGCAGGAGGAGAAGAGGGACAAAGAGAAGGAGGAGGAGGAGGATGATGATGAGGAGAAGCAGGAGGAGGAGGGGGAGAAGGAGGAGGAGGGGGAGAAGGAGGAGGAGGAGGAAGAGAAAGAGGAGGAGGAAGAGGAGGGGGAGGTAGAGCAGGAGGCGGAGGAGTAGCAGGAGGTAGAGGAGGAGGAGGAGGGAGGAGGAGGAGGAGTAGTAGTAGCAGGAGGAGGAGCAGGAGAGGAGGAGGAGGAGGAGCAGG